AAGACGTATATTTTCCCCAAGTGAGTAATTTCACTTTTTTGACATAAGAGGATATATGTGTCTGATTCACGTTCTTTCAAGTTAATCTTCAAAGACAGACATGTAGTGTCGCAGACATTTTTTTGGTCATTTAAAAAGGAATCATTCTTTCGTACATATTTTTTGGGTATCTTGAACCGTTTTCGCAGCGATGAAAATTATCTTCCGTTTTTTTCCCGCTGCTTATTCGTTCCTTATAGTCACAGCGATGTTTTTGAGCCAATAGCCTGCCTCAAAAATGTTCAAACTAACACAAAAATATTTTTTCAATTCCAACCACTAGTGCCTGAGATTGGCACGGTCAAACAAACTCTTCAGCTTTATATATAAGTATATGTTTATTTATTTTTGTTTAACAGTAACACTGAAATACGTCACATGAATTTTAGAAGTTATATGATCTAATAGCGCTAAACTCTCTCGTCTCTATAGTTTTAATTAAACAATATGTGATCGCGGTAACATAAGGGGATACACAAACTTGGTCCCGGAGGGCTATAATTAAGAGGTTTGTGTTGGGGAAAGCTGACTTTGAAATTATGGGCTACCTTCATAATCTTTTTGCGATACTAGAGTGTTATATACTGTTACAATAATGTTGTTTGGCAATACATTAATATTATAAAGGTAGAAGAGAAGTATTTTTGTGTCGTTCTGTAGTTTAATAGTTAAGCGCGTTAGGCATGAGAAGTCTAGGTCTAGGTTCGAATCAGGAATCAGAAATTGGGCAGAGCGCAGAAGTCTAAAGAACTGTGTTATTAAAAAAATAAGCAGAATGGACACTGAATTGTGTTCGGTTTATGCATGTTATACAAGGAAAACAAATTTTCACATATCAACTTATCTGTATTGAGAGATTTTTATGCATACTCACTTTTTTTTTCAACTCGTCAGTTACCGGTTTCTATACGATATAAGTATAGTGAAGTAAGTAGCGAGTAGTACACATTAATAAAATACTTTTAACGGTTTGAAACGTGACGAATAATGGGTTATTTATTTTAAACCTTCAAAAGTGTTTTATTGAAACGATATTACTTATAGGCGATACTGATGGGGCGACAGAATATCAGTGTTGGGACATTAGTAAGGCAGCGTAGTGGGCTCATTTTTATCTGTATTTAGTGATATATGCTTAAAGAAACATGCTTTAGTAATTCCTATATTGTTTGTAAAATTAATATCACAATCAGGTTTAAATAAAACACTTTAACGGTTTAAAACGCGATATATTAGTTAAAATTATTTTTAATTTCGGCCCGACGTTTCCGATGTAGCAGCCACGGCTTTGTAACAGCCACGGCTGCTGCAAAGCATTCGCGCATGCATTTATATCGCGTTTTAAACCGTTAAAGTGTTTTATTTAAATGTGTACTATTCGCGTAAACTATAGACAGTATTTTATAATCAGATGTTGTCTCTGAACATGTATTTCTTTATTTAGGTACTTATTCGTTAATAAACTCTATATACTCAACTTTTAATAAATTATATACCGATTATCGCGTTGAAAATTTAATTCATCATTAAATGCGTCGCAATTAAATATTAAAAAGTAATCCTTAAATCCACGTTACATAATCGCATTTTCCTCCCTTGGAAAATCAGTAGGCAGAAGCCTGGATTCTATATCATTATTTGAAACCCATAAAAACGGGACCTCAATTATCATGTTCGTAATCCGGAAATAGAATATTGATTAGAATACCGAATCTTTGAAGAGCCGTGACCCGGAAACGAAATCTTTATAGGTTCTGCTTTACTTCCCTGGTGCACCTACTGTTTACGCAGTCCAATGGTACTTGGTAAATTGATCTGCGGGTTTTCACTACCAATACCTTACTGTTGGATGCGGACCTTCTAAGAGTTTTATAAATATTCCCAATATTTTATTCAATTTTTTTCACAGAAATTATACATTATTTTTTGATAGAAGAGGAGAGACATGTGGTTCACTTGATGTCTTTGGATATTCGGAAATCCACAGATTGAAACCGAAACGCGATCAAACTTCATGGCTTTTTCATCTGTGGATGGTGATTCGTGACGCAGTTTCCATATTCCAACCACAAATTGAATATCAAGATATTCAAAGTCCAACATGTTTCGGAAAAATTATAAATTGATTAGAAAAATGGTTGACCCGATGGGCCCACCCGATCAAACCCACGAGCCGTTGATTTATTAGCCCTACGTTACTACCAATGCCCAAACGAGTTAAAGAAGAGACAATTAACCGCACGAATCTGGGTCTGGTGCTCGTCCCAATGTACCAACACAGTATAGAGTACAAATTACAATATTTGTGGGTAACAATTAAAAGTACGCCTAACTGACGTATGAAGCAATTTTTGCTATACGTTGATAGAATCGTAAAATTATAAAGCATACATTTCACGTCGTTTAATACAGCTACCAAACCGAACTCTAGGGTATATCAACTGAAAACATAAATTTAATTCCCGCCCGTGTCATTTCAAAATATCAATATGCAATTTACAAGAATAATTTGAGAATCGACCTAAACTATGGACTTTTTACTTACAATAGACGCAAAGCAAGTATGAAACGGTGGTTTTGTGGAAATTGGTGGATATAATAAACAATTCTGGATATATAAAACAATAAGAGATTAAAATTAGTTCTATTTAAATTAGAAGAGTTTTCAGATAAACCCATATATTTTAATTTCAAACAAAAGCTTACTTTATTGAAATCCCGTTGCCCCTGGGGCATGGGGCGAATACATATCGGTGTCCGTTTCATAGATCGGTTTAATAAACTTAAACCATTTAGCTATAGAGACGGTCGGCACAACTTACTATTTTTATGAAGAGGACAATCAAGCAAGTGTTTCAATTAAGGTCAAATACCCTAGCTATATAACATCTAAACAGTTGCGCTATCGACCTATTTTGGCTTTGGATATTCCGAAATCCAGACCGCAACCGAAAAGCGATTAAACTTCACGGCTTTTTCATTTGTGGGGGGTAGCTCGAGACCCGCGAAACTTAGATATTTTTACCTCTGACGTATTATTTACACGTCAGATTCCAGATCAAGGTTTCAGAAAAATATACATTTTTATAAACATGTTGATCCGGCGGGGGGTGGAAACCACGTCCCTAAGATTTATTTATTAGTCATATATTGCTACCATTAGACCAACGAGCCCATTCGATTCGAATTCCATTGTCCTACAATTAAAACAGAAGCGTCTCAAAATAGTAGTCCCCATGTTCCCGTGGGCGACGCGCTTAATTAAAGTATTCTGAGGGTAGTTAGTCCAATTAATTGTATTAGTTTGAAAGCTCGGATGCTCGTAGGCGAAGAAAAATGTCGCTGTTCAATGTAAAATAGGATCGCGATAAGTTAAGGTATTCTTGCTGAACTTTTTCTATTCCAGGAATCTGTAATTAATTTAGCTTTGTTTGACAAGCTATAAATTGTTACTATAAAAAGTAAAGCTTTTTCTTTACTTACTATCTATAATCTATCTATATTAAAGATGAAGAGTTTGTTTGAACGCGCTAATCTCAGGAACTACTGGTTCGAATTGAAAAATTATTTTGTGTTGGTTAGAGCATTTGTCGAGGAAGGCTATAGGCATTAATAGGAGCGAAGATACAGCGAGAAATGTGAACAAAACGGGGGAAATTTTTCATCTCTGTAGGTTTCAGATGCGTACGCTGCGAAAATTATTTCCTTTTAAATTAACTAAAAAAATGTCTGGGACACTATGCGTCTATATTTGAAGATTAACTTGTAAGAACGACAGGACCCCATCTTGGATAGCATTTTAAATTTATAAAGATGAAGAGCAGGTTTGCAAAATAAATTTGGAAGCCCAAAAGCTGTTCTACGCGGCCGAAGTCGATGACACATCTAGTATTATTATAAAGCCGAAGAGTTTGTTTGCGATAATCTCATGACCTTCTGGTTCGAATGGAAAGTATTTTTTTGTGTCGCATAGACCATTAGTCGAAGAAAGCTTTAATACGCTGTGATCAAGGACCGAAGAAATAGTGGAAAATATGGAATAAATGGGGAAAATTATTTATCTTCGAGAGTTTTCGGTGTGTTTGCTGGGGAAAGTTGTGGAGGTTTGCAAAAACAAACTTTGACACACAAAAATCTATTCCACGCAGGCGAAGTCGCAGGCACGGCTAGTAAGTAAGCTTTAAGTGAATTTTAAGTAAAAAGAAGTAGTAAAAGTTGTACACTTAAACACCTCAGCGGCGTTTGTTGTGAGTTAATGAGAGAACATTTCCTTTGAGTAATTTAATTAAGTTTAGTACCGAGCAATATCTGCACTTTTAAGACGCTATTTACCGCTCATGATATCAAAACAGGTTAAGCTACGTATTATCTGTGGTTTAAAATAATTAAAACATTTTTGACGGTTTAAAACGCGAAATATATTTGTATTCAGCTTGATTCCCCGTGACTATGATTGTCATATTACATTGATAATATTATAATTTGTTGTAATTGTTGTTAACGTTTTGAACCAGGATTCATACGAGTCTACTGTTTTAAATAAATTTCTTGACTGGACAGGGTTAAAACAAAAGGTAGAGGAAGCCACACATATAACCGATCATAGCGAAACACTTATTGACATAGTTTGTACGAATTTCAGGTCTTGCTCGATATCTGTTGAACATATCAGAGATTTAAGTAAACACGCTTTTATAGTCTGTCATATTCCAATTAAAAAAGTTAAAAATGTTAAAATTCAAAGACTTTCTAGGCAAATATATAAAGTTGATCCCAATTACTTTACGAGTCAAATTAATCAAATAGATTGGCATCGCCTTTTAAACATCGATGACCTGAACACTACTGTTGTTGAATTTACTAACGAACTACTCAGAATATATGATAGTTTAGCACCTTTAAAAATTACCACTGTCAAAGAATACCACTATCCCTGGATTACTTACAATGTTCAACAAATTATGAAGAGACGTAATGAAGCTCATAATAGGGCGCGCAAAACTCGAGACGAAAGTCACATTCAAGTCTACAAAGAATTGAAATATATTGTCAACACCGCTATCGCTACCGAAAAAAAGGCCTATTTTGACCAATATATTAACAAGAATTACAATAACCCCCGTAAGCTCTGGAAACATCTTAAAAATACAATTAATATTCAAAATAAAAATGATACTCCACTTCCAGAATACTTAAGTAATCCAGATGAAATAAACGATGCATTCTTAAATGTGCCCGGTTCAGACTTTGTATCTTCGTCAGTTTTAGATATTGTACAGGAGAGGAGAGCGATCAATAAGTCATTTAAGCTGACACCCATCAATGGACAAGATGTTTTGAAAGTGCTTCGGTCATTGCATTCTAATGCCAGCGGATCTGATGGGATATCACTTGATATGTTGCTCTCAACTTTACCAGATTCAGAAGTAGTTATCACAAAAATAATAAATGATTCTATTATGACCAACACTTTTCCATCTTCGTGGACTGAATCAGTCGTTAGACCAATCCCGAAGAATTCTAATCCATCAGAAGTAAAGGACTTAAGACCTATTAGTTTGCTTTCTTGCCTTTCCAAAGTACTAGAGAAGATTGTTAGTAATCAATTAACGGAGTTTGTGGAAGCGAATTCTATTCTACCAGCTGTACAATCAGGGTTTAGAAAAAAACGTAGTACTACTACAGCCCTACTTAGCGTCTTAGATGAAGTAATCTGCTCTCAGGATAAAGGCAATGGAACAATAATGGTTCTTTTAGACTTTTCTAGAGCTTTTGATTGTTTAAATTTGGATATTTTGATTGCCAAGCTACGTCATTATGGATTTAGCCAAAACACAATAAAATGGTTCGATACTTATTTAAGAAACCGTAGTCAGAGGGTTGAGATAAAAAAAGACAATGGTGCTGTTCTTCGATCACAACAAAAACGTGTGCTGAGGGGCGTACCTCAAGGCTCTATTCTAGGACCAACTCTATTCAACATCTATACAGCGGATATACAGAAGCATATCCACAATTGTAAATTCCACATGTATGCAGATGACATACAGCTGTATATCTCTTTTAAGCCAAATGAAGCAAGATCTGCTATTGATCAGATTAATAATGACTTAAAGCGAGTGACGGCCTGGGCAGAATCTAATTGTTTAGTTCTTAATCCAGATAAAACGAAATTTATTATACTCGGTACTAAAAAGCAGATAACAGATATAGCTGCTAATGACATCAATATAGAAGTCAAAGGAAAGACTATCGAAAGGGTTAAAACTGCACGTTATTTGGGGATTACTATTGATGAGCACCTACGTTTTGAAAAATATATATCTGATACAGTAAGGAATTGTTTTTACCGTCTAAAAGTGCTGTATAAAATTAGAAACGCTTTGAATGTCAACTTACGTGTTAATATCTGCGAGTCCCTGGTCTTATCCAAATTTAATTATGCTGACTCAGTGTATGGACCTCGCCTACTCTCAACATCAAAAAAGTTAATACAGCGGGTACAGAATGCCTGTGCACGTTATTGTTTTCACATACCACCACGAACTCATGTTACTCCATATTTAAATAATAATAATATCCTTAAAATGAATTTGCGTAGACAATTGCATTTTGCTTCCCTCCTTTTTGGTGTAATTAAATATAAGATCCCTACCTATTTATATCAAAAGCTCCATTGGGCTAGTGACTATAATACTACACACTTCACCCGGGCGTCATTGTATATGTTAAGCGTTCCCGCCCACGGAACGGCTGCTTTCCACGGGGCTTTCACTTATAGTGCCACCAAGTGTTGGAACAATATACCACCCCCGTTAAGGACTAAAATAGCACTTACCACCTTTAAGAGACGGTACAAAGAATATTTGCTATCGTTACAAAAAACCGGCGTCGATGGCGCTGTCAGTGGAAACCTATAATATTGAACCCTGAACCATATTATGTAGATGGAATGGAACAATTATTTTTTCTATTTATGCAGCTTGTCTTACTTTTTCTTTGTAAATTTTACTGTATTTTTATTTGTACAACAGCAACTTTATTTTTTTTGTTTATTTTAACTTGAGTGTGGCACCGCTGTCCACACTCTAAGGACTTACTGAAAATCAGTTTCAGGTCAACAAAAAGCCTGATATAAACTGAGGAAGATCCTATTCTACTAGCAGCACACAACATTATCCTATCTTGTTATATTAAGTTATACTGTTAAGACAAAATTATGTTTTGTTTTTTTTATGTTTAGTAATAAGTGTAACATGTGTTTTTATGTGCCCTAGTAGTAAATAAAAATTTTCTTTCTTTCTTTCTTTCTTTCTAATTGCTAATATTTTCAATGCTTTATTTTTCTATGCGTTTTAAACTATTAAGCAAGTATAATACTTGTTCTATAGAAATGTACTTATAGATATCTATATCCAAAGCCATTATAGGTCGACAGCTGATCGTGTTAAATGTAATATGGTCGGGGCCTTTACCTACCATCCTTCATTACAGCTTCTTCGTCCATTACTTAGAATCTTAGATCTTTATTATGAGAAATTTGTGTCTAAATCGTTATTTATTTAGCTAACTTAAATACTGTCTGTAGTTTACACAGTTAGTAGTAGTAGGTACCCATTTAAATAAACTACTTTATCGGTTTAAAACGCGATATATATTAGTAAAATTTTTAGTATTAGTAATTAGTAAAATCCGAAACGTCAGGCCGTGGTCAAAATAGTTGTCAAATAAGTTTGACTTATATATATCGCGTTTTGAACCGTTAAAGTGTTTCATTCAAAAGCCACTCCCTTATTTAAGTACAAGATAGATTTAAGCACTAAATCTATGTTCATTGGGTCTAAATATGGTTTCCTAATTATAATCTAGTTGGCCCCGACATAAGAAATTTTAAACTAAGCTATATATCAGCAATAATTAATACAAATCTTAATTCTATATTATCTATATAACTATTATAAAACGGAAGAGTTTGTTTGTTTGTTTGAACTCGCTAACCTCAATTTCGAATTGAAAAATTATTTTGTATGTTAGTTGGAGAATCTATCGAACTTCGTCCGCGAGAATCGTTATTTTGGGCATCCAAATTCGTTTTTGCAAAACTTTCTTCTTTATAAACTAAAGTTGGGACCCACGACGTCGGTCGCGTCCCTTACGTCATTCTTGCAAGTTATTCGTATAGCGTGCTGGACTTTTTTATAATAATTGAAGGAGAAATCATTCTTTTACACATATTTTTGGGTATCATGACCCGTTTTTGGACAGTACGCCTCGGAAAGCCATAATGATCGATAATTTTCACAATTTTTGTCCCCATTTTCCGGTGTATTCCGCTTCTATTAGTCACAGCGCGATGTTTTAGCCTATAGCCTTCCTCGATAAATGATCTAAGCAACACAAAAATATTTTTTCAATTCAAACCAGTTTTTCTGAGTTCAAACAAACTCTTACGCATTATATATTAGTATAGATATTGTAGACATAATAAATAGTATACCTCAAGTTATTAAGTAAATTTCTAGAACATAGATAAATAAACGTTGTTCTCCCCAATTAATGCTCGTCCAAGGAGTTTGTATGCAAAATGAAGGCTGGAAAGAGGGAAATTGAGTTGGCAAGCTTTGATCTTTGTCTTTTATTGGAAGTCGAACTGATTGATTCAATAACAGCGCGAAAACAAATTTCTCCTCGCTTAACCGAGTTAATTAGTTTCTTTACGTTAGAGGAAAGAAACGGGGGTCACCCAATGCAAAATATAAAATGCACTAGTTTTTAATCTTAAATAATGTATGTCTTGATTATATTTTGCTACTTGAGGAATGTTTGCTTAGGATAACGAACATAAATTTAAGATTATACGCTAAATATAAGCATAGAATTTACATATTTAAATAACCGAAATAATACATATTTAGTTGGAAAATTAATTAATTTTACCGTACAGTAGGTTCTTTTATGTTGGAGGAGGACAGCCAAGCACGAGGTTCACTCGATGGAATACTCCAGGCTTATATGCCTGCCAGCTTAAGACGTCAACGTATTTTGGCTCCGAATATTCAGAAATCCATAGACAAGAACGCGATAAAACTTCATGCTTTTTCCACCAAGAACGGTGGTTTGTGATCCGATCGTAATTTCGATATTCCCACCACGCATTTAATATCTAGATTTCCAGACGAAGTCCAACATGTAACAGAGAATACTAAATTGATAAAAACAAAAATCGGAGCCGTCTCGAGATTCGAACCCTAGATCTCGTGATTTCGTTGATCTACTGGTGTAATCAGACAATTCAATAATCTGGCTAACATTAATGAATCTTGAATAGCAATAACGAATAACATTAACGAATGTTTCACAAAGCATGAATTATATTGCTGATTACCACATTAAATCCAAATATACATTAGAATAAAAATCTAATTAAGTAATGTTTTAACTATTGTTAAATGCGGTTGTATCAATCTAGTTAATTATTACAATAGCCATAATAAATTTGAAAATTGTATTAATTTTAACATGCATTTGATATCATTATATAAACATATTTAGATTAAAACAATTTGCACGTTGCGCAAGAGGTGCATGTATCGATTGGTTGAAAAGATTCGATTCGGCCACGGTAGCTCAGTTGGTTAGAGCAGCAGCACAGAACGCTGTGGATGCTGGTTCAATTTTATTAAATCTCAATAGATTTATAACTTTAATAACATTTTAAAATACTAATAATTTGAAAGTGTTATGTTTCTTTACGAAAACCAACATGTTTGTCATTTTAAAATTTGCCGATATATGTCAGAAAGTCTTGACATATATATCGGCTTCAATCTGTAGATTTCCAACTTTTCGAAGCTAAAATAGGTCAACAGTGCGTCTTAATTAGATGCTATAAAACGTGACATTTTATCTAATATCAACGAGCATCAACATTCAACCCGAGCTTTGTCCTTTGTCATACAAAAAAATATGTTCAATTTTTCTTTGGCATATAATGTATTAAGGTAACAACTAGGGTATTATTGTCATTTTTAATTGTCATATCCTTCAAGTATATATGAGTATTATTTGGTATTCTAATGGCTTTAGGCATCTTGACCTTTCGAGATGACGTCACGAAGATAATAAAACGTACATTCTTAAATGTCTGGACAGTCATGGAAATTAGCCCTGACTCATTTTTATTGCGATACATGATCTTGCTCAGATCCTATTGGTCAGTGAACTAGAAGATCACGAGATCCTGGGCTCGAAAAGGTCTTGGCATAATTTACGTAAGGTATTTGGAATCTAATTTAAAACCCATCAATCCGCATTGGACCTACTCGGTGGGTCTTTGTTTTAAAACCCTCTATCTTGCGAAAGAGGAGACCTGTGCCCAGCAATGGGACATTAATAGTTTGAAACGGGATAACCTTGTGAGAACTTTTCCAATTGTTTCACTACCAAAGAGAAATATTGTAATCAACTATCGTAACTCGATTGTTCCCGATCAAAACAAGAATTGTCAATTTACAACACATCCGCTAACGCATATTTGTGCAACGTATCTCGAATAATTCACAAAAGCGAAGCATGGTTTTAAGTTGAAACTATCAAGACTCGAATTCGGGTTTCCCTGCGAGGTTATATACCTCTATCTCTGTCACTCCCAAAGTATATACGCTTAGAGATATTCGCCGTCCCTCTTATACTTAGGAGGCTTGCGCGGAAAGAGAATGTTGGTAACGAACGACCTTTTGCTGCTACGGGCAGTGCGGAGCGTCCATTCACCGGGAGTGGTACACTCGAAGAACAACTGTACTATATCGTACGGACGTCGGTCTGTCTGAAAAAATTACGTAAATATTACAACACACTCGAATTGATTAGCCACGCGTAATCGTGCCTTGCGGCTGTTTCGCATCGGGCACACTAAATTCTTGCATAGTGCTCTCCGCGTAAGTGCGTCCTGTTCTGTGAATATAATTTTTATTTCGTCTCCTGGTGCTTTGACTGTGTTTATTTCGTTGTGTTTGTCCGTAATTTTGTTCCGATTGGATTGTCGCTGGCGTAATTGGTAAGTTATCAATTGACAAGTAAAACTTACTAAATACCATATTACTAAACATAGATTTAAAACAACGTGAAAATTACTGATGTAACATTTAGCGAAACAAATCTTCAAAACCCACGTACTCGCAAACTTATTCTTATAATATCTAGGATAGATATTCCTTATCACCACTGTTCTCATTCATAATCCACTTAAGTATAAAATTATAAACAATATGTAGAGATTGGAGGGTAGTTTTTATAATTAAACCGTCTAGTCATTTGACTACTGTCTTTATTTAAAGAAATAAAAACCGTGCTTTTAACAATCTTATTGTCTGTATGATTTTTTTGTTATTTGCATGTTTAAACGTACGGACACAGAAATGTGTACGTCCATACCCCACGGGAGGGGAAACGGAATTTCACTTCTTCTGTAATAAGCAATGAATATACAATCCATAAGAAAATAACTTTGACATCAAGATTTCCAAACACAATTAATTAATAACAAAAAACTAACAAAAAAAGCTCTATAGTCGGTTTCAAAGGAAAATATCTAAGCGTAATTTAGTTCTGACAAAGGAAGACCTAATGGAATATATTTCCTTCATTTTGTACGTATTATGGCTAAAAAGATATTACGATACGAGTAATTCAAATTATGCAATATTTTGTACTAACAAAATATGAATGTTTATATAAACAAAATTACAGAAATGTGCAAATAAATTTCTCTATTTGTGACAAACAGGAGGCGTTTGGTTTTGTAATTAGTATTTAATTAATTATTACCTAACAAGCTGTTGATTCATTTTTGAAGTATTCGTTTGTGTAATAATACAGACAGATCGTGGGTTCGAATTTTATAGGGTCCAAAATAAGTAATATTTATTTTGAATCACCTTGGACTTTGTCTGAAAGTCTGTATGTTAAATGAGTGGTAGGAATATCGTAATTCTGGATCACCAAGCCCCGTCAACAGATGATGAGCTGCAAAGTTTAATCGCGTTTCGGTTACAGTCTGTACATTTCCAAATATCCAACACCCAAATAGGTCGATGGCGCATCTTGTCTTGGTATTTCACCTTCCTTCGAGTGATATTGTTGTCTCTCTTTATCTTAAAAAAACTTTTACTAGTTTACTACTTACTGTTTCCTAATTATTCGAGCTTGTAGACCTAACAACGCATTTTTATGTTAGGCTAATGTATCAACATCCATCAGCAACAGAGAAACAGAAAAATCAACCATTTCTTTTAATCACAGTACAGAATGACGTAATTATGTTTACTTAATGTCAATCAAACGTGTGCAGGTCTATTTATTTGCTGTTGAAAGCGCATTGTGTTTAGGTAACTATTAATTAATTTTGGTGAATGTTATGCCGCGAAAAGCAATTCACTGCAATCAAATATTAAATTCCATTTGTCCAAGTGAAAGGCCGTCGATTGATTTATCGAGAAATCATAAATGCTGATATAAATAAATAGTTAAATAATAATGATTTAACATTATGTCTGTTAAATTGAAGTTACACAACAAATGTAACTGAACAAAAACTAGATGGCGCTAATAAACACAGCTAATTTGTGATCTTTGACCTTTTTTGTGCGCTCTACTGGAATCCAATGATTTAAAACAGCTTTAGGGTATCTGTAACTTAGACAATTTAAATAAAACACTTTTAACGGTTTAAAATAAAACACTTAAACGTTTTAAAACGCGATATATATTAGTTAAACTTATTTGAAAATTATTAACTTCGGCCCGACGTTTTGGATGCTTTGCAGCAGCCATGGTCACGGGGAGACTTTTAAAACTCGTAACTACAATGTATTGTATTAAAGGTGTACCTTTTTAAACCGTTACAAGTTTTTTATTTAAATTTAAACTGTATGTACTTAGATAATCTCTCTTCAAAATCCTAAGTGCAAATAATATAAATTGAAAGACGATGACGAAGATATTTTAATACGCGACAATGTTATAAAGAAGATGGGAATTCTAATAGCTTGAAAGTACAATATAACAAATTTATAAACAAGAATTTTAATATATAAGCGAGATCCGGCTTCGTCAAGTCTCATTTACATCGAGCAGTCGTGTGGAATTCTTTACAACGCACGAAACCAAACTTAAAACAGCGTTGAAATATTATTATTGCCAGTTTTCCTTGAATAATTCATTAATATGACATAATAATGACACCAAAGCGAAATTAGCTATAATTAAGCGATTCTATTAGTGAAGTGGTGTATTGTGTAATATTTATTGGTATTTTATTAATCTATACACACGTTAATGGCGTGAAAGTTTGCATTTGTTTTACTAGCGTATTGGTTACGTTAAAATATTAGTAATTAATAATTCTATTACTATTACTAAAATAATTAGCTTTGTTACAATTGGTAGCAATGTACATTTAAATGTTTCGGCTGCTGCAAAGCATCCGAAACGTCGGGCCGACGTTAAAAATAATTTTCCAATAAGTTTAACTAATATATCGCGTTTTAAACCGTTAAAGTGTTTTATTGAAACCTCATGCTTGTCTGTCCTACTCTAGCATAAAAAACCATACCTATAACGTGCTCACTCGAGTAACTTATATAATTTTTTAACGCTAAAATCGAAAAGATATAAATAATTTTGAGAACATAAGTCTCTTAGTATTGAACTTGAAAAACTCTTATGATTCTCTTGTGATACAAATGACGACTCTATATTTCTTCAGTGAGTCTTATAAATTATTTTATGACAAAGAAATAATTCATTCGAGTTTCATTTTCTACCAAAACTCACATCGTAATGACTACTTAGCACATAGTTTGTGGGCAGATGTTTCTCTTTCGTTGAGTCAGAAATCAGAAGGTCCTTCTCGAGGTCGCCTGACGTATCCGCCTTCTAAGACTAATGCATGCGACTTTGACGCAATTTGATTGTCTTGATTTTTAACGAAGGTCCCTTATATGGGGTATGGGACAGATACAGTGTTAGTTTCTGATAAAGGTAAGTTTTAATTATACTTTGTGTCCTACCTACGTCTGTCACAACTTGTTAGGCGAAATAGAGCAATCTTTAGCGTATTTTAAAATGGAAGAAGAAGAAACACTTAAAGGTCTCCGCCAAAAAACATTTGTTTATCAGTATTGTACATGTTGCACTATTTCGTATATAACTTTAATAGTTTTTTCTTTCCCAGCGATTCAAACCGAGGACACCTTACAGAACTTTAATATTTTTCACATGTTGGCAATTGAGCTTCTCGTCTATCTAAGACTATGTTTATCCAAGAAAGAAAAATAGAAATAAGCAAACAAAAAACCCGCCTACACATTTCTTTGTCTATATTTATTTCATTCGAGTAAAAGCAAACAAGAGAAGTCAACGACATACGCTGATAGCATGTATTAATTTCAATTATTCAGTTACTTTTTGTAAAGCCTTTATGTGGATAGGACATGATATGAGGCTGCTAGAGGCAGAGTGGCCTAATAACAAAAAACATGATTTTTAATAGGGAGGAAGATACGCAATTATCTTAGGCGAAAATGATATTTGTGTAAGAATTATGTTAAAAATTTTCGGTCACTGTGCTCTTGTAGTTTAATATTTTTAGACTATAAAAATATAATGGTCACAAAATTGCAGTTAGTTCTACTCTGGCTCTAGATGCCTCAAATCTTTCAAGTGCGATTAAATTTTCGGGCGTCTCAAGGCTTTAGGGCGTTCGGTCCGCAAAACCTTATTTGTATGCATTATTCAGGATGTCTTTGTGTGTGCAAACCCACAATAGTGGATGAGCATTCAAAAGCGTATCTAAGAATTAATACGATGACGATGGACATGCTAAATGACGAAGAACATTTGCGTTAAACCAGTTTGATTCAGGACTAATACAATAAAGTATGTTCGAGTTTCCTTTGACTACCTGATTTCATATCCAGCAGGTATTGTTAGTAGATGTATATATAATGTAAGTGACGTTTCGATTTGCGTTAACCGATGAGTTCCTGGGTTCTAATTATGGTTAGGAATTTAGTTGTTGTTACAAGGCACGAATATATAGATATTACTAATATAAAAAATTAAATTAAATCCATCTTTTCCGTGTTATTAATAAGAATCTGCCAATAAATTTGTACGTATTGGTTATTCATACATTGTACATTTTATATTACTTCTTTATTTAAAACTTAAATGAATTTGATATAACCCTAATTGTATAATTTCCTTTGGGGCTGATTCAATGTAGTAATT